ACAATCCACAAAACAAATTTAGTGCATAAAGATTTTCATTCCGAAAATATAGTTAACAAAAATACATTTAGTTCCTACATTAGTGTCTCAAGGTTCAAGCACTGAAGAGATTTTTGGTATAATTCTTACATTGCTCCAGAAGTATTATATGCAGGCGGAAAAGAGTACACTCAAAAATCAGATATATATTCTTATGGAATCACGTCAAATCTGTAAAGGTAAAAGTTCTGAAATCAGATGTAAAGTTCCACAATTATTTTTGGATTTGATGAATAAATGCTTAGTTGCTGAACCTCAAACCGACCAACTGCTGAAGAATTAGTTAATACGTTGAACCAATTTTTTAGAGATTTGCAAAATGAAAGAACCGAATTTTAGAAGCAAGAAATTCAAGACTCGGGCAAAAATTCAAATCAAGACGACTCAACTATCAGACACATAACAAGCTATTTATACAATTCGGTTTTGAATAATCAAAATCTTCCTAAACCAATAAATGCTAATTCAGGTTAGAATGTTAATTAAAATATTGGTTTTAATTTTTCATACTCAATTAACTTTTGTGCTTGTTTTAGTAAGCAAACCTGTCGAAGAACCAAATTTTGACTAACACCATAGTTTGTCATGGAGAGTAGCTAGGTTCTTTTACAATCTACACTGGTTTTTTTGATTTATATCCCTGGATAATTATTCGGGCCTTGTACCAAAGTCATATATGATGAACCCGATTTGTTTTATATGGGGCTCGTCAGTAGAAAAGGGAAAAAAAGTTTCTAAGTAAAAGTTTTTTAAACTTTGAATTAAAATATTTCAATAACTACTAAACTAAATTTGATAATTATTTTTTTATTTTAATTATATGTAATTATAAAATTAAATAAAAAAAAAAATTTTATTTAATTTGATTCAGTAGTTATTGAGCTATTCTAATTTAAAATTTAAAAAAAAAGCGCTAAAAACTTTTTACCCTTTTCTACTGACGAGCCCCCATATGTCACGCTTATAAATTTTGTTTAACATGATCGGGTCTTTTACAAAATATGCAAATAACAGAAATGGCATATCGATGTTATGTTAACGATTGTAAAAATTTCTTAATTTATTATCATAATCATTAAATATAACACATAACATAAAAGTAATGTTTTTCTCTTCAACTAAAATAAATTCTAAATATCTAAAGTTTCTGTTTTTGTAACCTTACCTATTAATTAATTATACGTACATGTATAAGTGAATTATAATAAATCAACCAGTGATGTTTGCACAAGTATTTTAGAGAATTTTTACTATTATCATCTATCTAGAGCTAGAATTAGAATTACATAAGGATTTTGAAGTTATTGCTTAGTATATTAAATACAGTCAGACCCCTGAATGCTACCCTTAAATGCACGTCTTCTCTTGGGCCCAACTAATATTACATCTATAGATTTTTACCTCCCTAAATACTATACCTTTCTAAGGCACGTTTGACTAAATTTTTTATATGGTTCCGTCACATTGCATTTAGAAGGTCTGACTGTACTAATTGTATATTTGTTTAAGCGATAAATACCATTGGTTTAATTTAATAAACATTGCAATCTGATATTATATTTGCTATTATTCTTAAAAAATAATATAGAATAGTATTTCCATATGCCAAACTGCAAGCAAAATTAAACAGAATAAACAAATATATTATCACAATTTTATTATTACAAAATTGTATAAAAAGATTTAATAATTCTATTCTATATGCCAAGTTACTTTTTTAACAGTATTTAGTAATATATATATAAAAGTTGAAAAGCTAGACTATCAATAACAAAATCTGATAACCTGAGTTAAAATTTATCTGATTAATTAGTTGCAATAGCAGAAAGAAGAGAATTAGTTAACAATACACCTACTTGTATAGAACTAGTTCTAAGATATACTATTTTCTTATTATTTTAAGTTTTTAAAAGGTCTAAAATTAATATAACAAAGCTATTAGAATACAATAGCTATATATCAAATATATAGCAAACCTGATAATTTCTAACTATTATTTGTAATTTAGCTTGAAAAGAAATTTCAACACTTAAATATTAGTAAAAAATTTATTTAGTGTAGTAATTCTATAATAGTATAAAATTTTTAAGTTTTAATAATTTTGTATATATTTAAAATATTAAAAGAAAGGGGTTTGGACCTATAGCTTAGTGGTTAAGCTGCATCAAACCCTCACCGGTGATTCTCCAACACGGTGCTTAGTACAAAATCCACACCAATGATCCTCCAATAGCGATTTCAACACACATGCCATAGAGGCACTATAGAAAATCTATGGAAAAATAATATTAGTAATCGAGAAAAACGAAAACAGCAAAGAGAAACAAATGAAACAGAAAAAAAGAAAGTGATAAAGCAGAGAAAAAGAAATAAGTAAACAGAAAAAGGAAAGAGAATAAGAGAAATGAAACAAAGGAAGAAACAAAATAAAAAGAAACAAAAAAAGAAACAAAAGAAAATGATGAAAGAGATGAAAGAAATAAGCAAAAGAAAATGAAGAGAATGAAAGAAAAGAAATAAATACAAAGGAACAAAAGAAAAGAGAAGGAACAAAAGAAAAAGGCGAAAGAAAAGGAAAGGAATAAAAGAAAAGGGATGGAGAAAAATGAATGAGAGAAAAGAAACGAAAGAAAAGAAAAGGAACAAAAGATAAAGGGCGAAAGAAAAGAAAAGAGATAAAAGAAAAGGGACGAAAAAAAAGGAATGAAAGAAAAGAAAAGTAATGAAAGAAAAGAAAAGGAACGAAGGAAAAGAAAAGGGAAAAAAAGGGACGACAGAAAAGAAAAGGAACGAAGGAAAAGAAAAGGAACAAAGAAAAAGAAAAGGAACAAAGAAAAAGAAAAGGAACAAAAGGAATGAAGGAGAAAAAAGGAACGAAGAAAAAGAGAAGAAACGAAAGAAAAGAAAAGGAAGTAGAATGAAGAAAAGGGAATGAAAAAAAAGAAAAGGAACAAAAAAGAGAAAAGGAACGAAGGAAAAAAAGAAATGAAGAAGAAAAGGAATGAAGAAAAAAATTGAAAAAAATTTCTTATGTAATGATCCTCCGGTGTGATCATACATTACATAAAGGTATGCTATCGACCGTGATATGTAAGTAGCTCTCATAACTTTAACTTAATAACGCTGAATAATAAAGTTTCAAACTGGAATATTTTCTGAACGCTCAAAATTTAATTTTTTTATAATTTTTTTTTTAAAAAAAACTTAGGAATATATCCGGAGCAATATCAATATCGATATATTAATTTATATTATGCAAATTTCAGTTCGGAATATTATCGGGATGAGCTCGACTTGTTCGGAACAAAATCGGTAAAAAATTTTTTATAGGGTTACCGAACACTAATTATATGTGATTAACTACGATTCTTTAGGGGTCAACCTATCAGAGTAATAAATATTAAATTACACTCAAAAATTAGATATGAAATAATTTAATTTTAATTTATTTATAGTAATAAGATTTAATTATTTTTAATCTAGTCCTTCGGACTTTAAATGAGTATTGCGAATTGTGAATTTGAAAAAACATGTTTTGATAGAATTATTAATATCATATAATATTCATTCAAGAAATTTTATGTCATACATCTTTAATATTATTATCTTACAATTAAATCATATATATTGTAAAGAAACTTCGGGAATTATCAAACTGATAAGTTCGTACTATTTCCGAAAAAAGTGATCAGGTAAGTAAACGATCAGTTTTGCACCTTAACATTTACGATAATTGGTGCAGTCATCAAGGGTTAGATTCCAACCATTCAGTGGCCAATTAAACACTGCCTGACATGCTTCTAAGAGACTTCCGTACGTTGCAATTCTATTTATGAGATAGTTATTAACACCACCTCCACCATTTTTTGTATCCCCCTTGAATTATGCAATTGACAGGGGAACCAACCGGATTATTACATTTAAATCGTTCAAGGCATGTACTTGGCCCAGATCGGCCGACTGCCTCCCAATCACAGCATAAGCTGTTGTCTCCGTGTTCACAAATTGATTGAATGTTATCAGGTTTACATACCACAACACCATAAAAGTTAAGAATATGACTTGCAAACGCTGCTTTTAGGCCTGGTAAAAGTGCGTTACCGACATTTACATCACTATATTGAGAGTCGTTAAAGTCAATGTATTTGTCAATTATTGTATAATTGAATCCATGATTAAAAGTATCATCTACCACGGATTGTAAAGAATTTAACATGTTACTTTCTGCTTGATTCTGAAGCTCTCCTAAATTCCTAACAGGACCCTCCGGATTCCCTTTGGATCCGAGATTTGTTGCCCCAATACTGATAACACCTGAAATAATTCTTTGCATAAAAAAACCAAATTCTGCTCCAGCTATAGTGCCGAGAGGTAAAATAAATGGTGCAAAGTTAATGGCACCAATAATAGTTGAAAAGATCAATAAAATATTAATGAGAGCCATATTGGGACCAGTTTTGGCATGAGGAGTTAAATCATCTACCATATTAGGTAATATATGATTTAATTGATTGAAGGAATATTTAATTCCATCGTAGAAAATTGATAAATACGTTAAATAATTCTTAGACGCGAAAACCAGTCTTGCTATACTAGGACTTGAATTATTAACCGGATATTCGAGATATCGTTTTGCTTCGATATTCAAATAGTTTCCAAAAGGGCCAGGATAAAAGGCCGGCGCAGTTTGCCCCAACAGATGACTGATGCATGATGCAATGCCAGGATCCGGTTTAGGATTCAGTGGAGCACCGGTATCTATATTTATTCCTTTCAAGCAATATTCGTAAGTTAGTGAGGGAGGGGCAGGATGCTTGCTGTTTGTGCCGACTCCAGTATACAGAATTTGCATGTCCACGTTAATATTAGCAGTATAACTAGAAGAAAAGCAGGCATAATTGTTGTCACCTAGACTATTGTATAATTTATTTTGGTCAAAATTTATTTCGACTGCCATAAAACAATCTTTGGTACATCCTTGTAATGAAATGGAAACATTAGATTTATCAGTTTGGAGTAGCATGAAGTTAGGACCGTAAGTGCCTCCATTAACAGAATCGTGATTAATGATAACATCAAAGTCTTTTTTACAAATTCTATACTTTAACATTACAGTGGTCCAGGAATTAACCACAGGACTAAAGAAAAATAATAGGAACAAAACAAAAAATAATTTTCTAATTTCCGGAGAACCATTTTTGATAGTATTTAATGTGAAAGTTTTAAGGCATAAAATGGACATATTTGTGAAATTTTTTGTTTGTTCCTATGAGCTATTCTTGATAAATCTGATCGTTTTTATACCCAATGATCGCCAAATCAATAATTTATTTAATAAGTAGATTTTGAAGGATCAAGTTTTGATATTTCTTAATACATAATAATTTTATTGGTAATCGGTTCGTGAATAGGTAGATTTCGTACAGTTTCATATTTATTATCACACAACTCCATATTTTGTTTCATGTCGAAGGCACGAAAAACCAACCAGTATTGAGAATATTTAAGGTTTTGCCTTGAAAATCACCTTTGATCGGGCGGACAAAAACAAGCCCGAGTACCGGTTCATGTTTATATGTTACAGCTGTTCTCATAAATTCTGGAAATTTGGCAAAAGTTGACCGACCAAATATTTGCCGATTCGATAAGCTTTGAAAAACTTTTGATTCGGATGTAATTACAACCGAATCAAAAGTTTATCAAAGCTTATCGAGTCGGCAAATATTCAGTCGGTCAACTTTTGCAAGATTTTCCAGAATTTATGAGAACAGTTGTAATCATCATTGACTTTATTGATTTAATAGTTTATCGAATAACTATTGAATCAATAAAGGTAAAATTTATTAACATATAAGCATGAACTGGTACTCGGGTTTGTTAATAAAGTAAAAGATAATTAACATATAAACATGAACCAGTATTCGGGTTTGTTATTGTCCGATCGGAAATATTGGTGATTTCCAAAGCAGAAATACAGTATTGAAAGGTGATTTTCAAAGCAAAGACTCCATTTATCGAACCTACTTTTGGTTAGATCATAAAATTAATGATAATCCTAGAAACAAATCGGAAGTTATTCCCAAAATTGTTTCATACCCTGGTATTTTGTTTTTGAAAATTTTGCCGGGTCAAATGCAGCATAGGTAAATTCTTGGCAAAGTGCCCGGAAATGCATAAACAGGTCATCTATACTATATTTGAGCCAGCAAAATTTTCAGAAATTCAAAAACATCTATACTATATTTAATCCATAAATATTAATGCTAAAAAAAACTCTTCAAATATGCTGAGAGTTATACCTGTTTGGATTTACTTATTTCCTACCATAATTCAAAATATAAAACAATAAACATACTATTTGCCGTAAATTTAACTTTAAAGTCAAAATTAGGATAGATTTAGGGTTAGAAAGAGCAGCACAAAATTTGTTGACAATCGACACGTGCTATTTTCAATCACAGATTGAAAAATAATTTCTTAATGCAGTCAATTATTAGGCTCATTATAGTGATTCAATGATCGATGACATATTATCGTATTCTAATTATTTTTGAATCCAGACCAAAATGATATCAATTATTATAAAACGCACTATGGTGGTTTTGCACCTAGTATATGTTTTTATTATGTTTTTTAAGTTTTTATAAGTTTTAAATATAAAATTTTTAACATCAATTTTTTCACGTTAAAGCTAATATTAAGGTTAGGTTTAGGGTTTGGGAAGGGTTTTTGGGAGTATAGAACATTTTTACTTAGAACACCTCACATCGATTAATTAGCCAGTTTTTGAGATAATAC